TTAACTTCACTAGGCAGATTATTTTTATATTCCCAGAAATCATATAATGTAAAGAGACATCTTTCATTGTGGCTGTAATTGATTGAAAAAAGGCATGTCAGTAAATGAGTTCCCCTACTACTCATTAATTAGACATAAATACATATTTTATTTCTACTATATTTAAATATTTTCAATAATACTTTCTATCTCTAGAGTATATGTTACTGGAGAACAACCACATTAATTAATTTACAGGTCATTTGTGGGATGAACAATAGATATCACTATAAACATTTTTCAAAGAGATAAACTAAGTTCTAGAGCAACTAGATTTTCAATAGCATGCAAATACAAATATGGCATTGAGGTGTGAGTAATGAAAGCAATTGTAATATTTTCTACCAATCTACAGTGAATATATGATGCTGGGTTTTTTTAAGTCTTCTAAATATGGTAAAGAATAGAAGGGCTTTACTCTTACACTATGTGCTCCACTCTCTAATCTTTCACTTATTTTTAAAACCTCTGATATTCTTAAATACAAGCTTGTGGGTGACTTGCTTAAAAGTGTTGCCTGGATCCCTACAGTGGAACCAACACATTAGCTTTGGGTTCCACATATCTTTACAAAATGACTGTAGATGAACTATAGGATACCTCTCTTTTTCTGGATTGTGAACTTCCTTGAAACAGAGACTATACCTTTTATATTTATAGCCCAAGGTCTACCACAGTGCCATAGCACACAATGCATAATGCTGAATGAATGACTTAACTGAATAAAATGAATTACTGATTACCTTTCACTTGTCTTTTCCCATCCTCTTATCCCCTTCCTCAGGGGATAACATTTATGATTCATTTATATTTTTAATATTATTGTGAACTCCTAAATAATCTAACTGAGACAAAATGGAAGCACTAAGAGACAGACATTTTTTTTCCAATTAAATTGATTTGAGCCAGTGATACTTATTCAAAAGATTTTAAAAAGCTACTTCGACATTAAAATTAGTTTCTGAACTAAATAAATATACATATTGTAGGTGTCATTTTGAAACAAAATCAGTTTCATTTCATAAAGATAAAGGAGTTTAGAATCTTAAAACAGTAAGCATATCTACTCTAAAGAAAATGCAGTCTAAAGCATATATCAATCATAAAAAATTTTAAAAACACCTTTATTGAATCATTTTTAAATGATCTCCTTTTAAAAGCTCTTTAAAAACTTCTCATTATTCTTAGGATAAGATCCAAAATAATGTGAACTATTAATACAATTTAATTCATTGATTCTTTAAAAATATATTGTCTGTTACATATTTTAGGGTCAGAAAATATAGCAGTGAATGGGGTGGGAGAAAGCCTCAGTTCCCAAGGAACTTAAGTCTGGTGGTGGGCCAGTGGGAACTGACAGATTATAAACAAATACTACAATCAATGAATAACAAAGTACAAAATAAACAAGATCAATTCCAATGAAAGAAAGAGGGAGAAGGGAGAGAGGAAGGATCAAAGGAGAGAAGGGTATACTTGAATGAAGAATTGAAGAAATAAGAGGATGGAGAGATGCTATTTTCTTTCAGATCCAGATAGACTTTTCTTTCAAAATGAAAATGACTCTTCCTCCCAATACCAAGTAGTGCATGCACATTGTAAAATATTCAAAACAATGCAGAAAGAGTTAAAGAAGAATATTAAAAAGCCTAATAATTCCTTCACATTTTATTTGCCTGTATATTCATCTAGACTTTTTATGCATATTTACAACATATCCTATATAATAAAAGGGTAATATGCAAATTGACCAAACAGCAGAAAGATCTGGAATGCTTCCACAGGGGGAGCATTGCTCAGCCAGAAGCCAGCTCATTGCTGGCCAGTGCAGTGGTGGTGGTGGGAGCCTCTCCCACCTCTGTGGCAGTGCTAAGGATGGCTAACTAATAGCTTATGCCCATTATCCAAGTGGAGTGGGCCTAAGCTGTTAGTTGGATATCCTCCTAGGGCTTCTGGGCTGCCAGAGGGATGTCTGACTGCCAGCTTTGGCCCAATCCCATGGGGAGCAGGCCTAAACCAGCAGGTTTACATCCCCTGAGGGGTCCCCGACTTCGAGAGTATAGGCCAGGCTGAGGGACCCCACTGAGTGCATAAATTTTGATGCACCAGGTCTCTAGTTTTAATATAAAAATACATGCATGTAGTCCTAGCCGGTTTGGCTCAGTGAGCCTGTGGACTGAAGGGTCCCGGGTTCGATTCCAGCCAAAGGCACATGCCTGGGTTGTGGGATCGATCCCCATTGGGGGTCATGCAGGAGGCAGCCAATCAATTATCTCTCTCATCATTGATATTTCTATCTCTCTCTCCCTCTCCCTTCCTCTCTGAAATCAATAAAAATATATTAAAACAAACATGCATGTAATTTATTTTTTCATTAACTTTTTTCCCCATCATTGATTAAGGTATTACAAATGTGTCCTTATCCCCCATTGTCCTCCCACCCCCCAATCCTTCTCTCACCATCCCCCCATTGTCTGCATCCATTGCTTACATGCATATAATTTCATACATTGCTTGTTTTCATCCTATACAATAAAAGTGTAATATGCAAATCAACTGAATGGTGGAACAACCAGTTGCTATGACAGGCACTGATCACAGGGTCGGGGGGAGACAGATACTCAATGCAGAAGCCGAGCTCATGGCTGGCGAGTGCAATGGCAGTGATGGGAGCCTCTCCCACCTCCGCTGCAGGCAGGCAGTAAGGAGCAAGGGGTCTTGGATTGTGAGAGCCCCTGACTGCAAGAGGGATGTCTGACTGCTGGCTTAGGGAGCAGGCTGGGCTGACAGACCCCCCCCCCCCGCCCCCGAGTGAATGAATCTTGTGCACCAGGCCTCTGGTTTAATAACATACCTGAACAAATTTAGACCTAACTACTAATTTTCATATATTTTAGTCCTCCTTTTCCTTCTTCTTTTTGTTGTTAATCCTCACCTGAGGATATTTTCCCATTTTTTTTTTCCTTTAGAGAGAATGGAAAGGAGGGGAAGAGACACAGAGAGATAAAAGTGGATGTGCTAGAGGGAGACACATCTATTGGTTGCCTCCAGCATGCACCACAACCAGGGCCAGGGACTGAGCCTGCAATGAGGTACATGTCCTTGTTCGGGACCCTTCAGTCCATGGACTAATGCTTTATCCTCAAAGCCATACTGGCTAGGACTGATATTTCAATGATTAACATTACATACATCTTTGTCCACTTCTTTTCCTTAAAATACATTTCTATATGTGTCTTGTTGGTCAGACAGTATGGATATTTGAGGCTTTTGACACATATTGACAAATTGACTCAAAAATGTTATATCAATTTGTAACAGCAGCATACAAGTGTTCCCATTTCATAGGCTTTTCATCAACAATATTATCAGAATTTTATTCTTTGATATTCTGAGGGACAAAAAGAGAAATCCTATTTTAATTTTTATTTCTGATTACTAGTGTGGTTGAACATTTGAATTGCCTATCCATGTCCTTCTCACATTTTTAAATTGTGGTATTTATTTTTTAATCAATTTATAATAGCTCTTTAGGGACTAGTGATATTAGCCAGATATGTTTATCATGTATTTAGCAGTTTTTGTCAATTATGTTGTCTTTTAATTTTATCACAAACTAGTATTACCCCATACCTGTTTTATGTCATGTTGACATTTTTTTTCCAGTTTGCTATTTGTCACTTAACTTTACTAACCTTACATTTTGACATTCAGAAGCTTTACTTTTATTTATGAAGTCGTATTTAATAGTATTTCCACTTATGAATTTTGTGTCATATTTAGAAAGTTCTATATCCTCAAGGGTATACACATATTCACTTACATTTTCTTCTACTTCTTTTTATGGTAAGCCATGTTTGCCTTAAGAATGTGTTAAGGTAGCAGTGTCGAACTCAATCAGAGAAGGGGCCAAAATCTAAAATCCAGCCTAAATCGCGGGCCGAATGGTTTACTGAACAGTCATAAACTGTCATTGTGATGGAAACACAGCGGAGTGCAGTGATGACAGCGCGGTGCGGGCCACATTGCAAGGCCTGGCGGGACGGATTTGGCCCGCGGGCCTTGTGTTTGACACATGTGTGTTAAGGAGTTGGTAATGTTATTACCATAAGCTCAATATCAGCCTTAATAACATTGCAAGATATTGAAGAATTCCTTTTACACATCTAGTAAAAGTTCTAGTATGTGATTATATAATACAAGACAAAAACTGATTAGACATATAGCACTTAAATCATATTTTCATACTGTCAAAAATGACAAGATCAAGCCTGCTGGAAAGCTGGTCCAGGAGGAGCTTATGAGGGATATTGGGTAATTGCTTGGAGTAAAATACTTATGTTCCAGGCTGATAAAATGGCCTTCATGCTGAGGAAGTGTTCTCTCAAAAAATACGTGAGAGCCTACTATGAGCTGACTGGGGATGTGACAGTGAACAACAACAACAACAAAAGAGGCTCACTGCTCTTAAGAGTTGAGGTAGACAAATAATACATTTTAAGATTAAGTGCTTTAAAGAAAATTAAGCAGTTAAGAAGGCGGAGAAATTTTTACGTAAAATAGGGTGATTCCGGACGTCTTCTCTGGGAAAACCACAATTGAGAAGAGGCTTGTATGAAGACAGGAAAGATACGAAGAAAAATATTCCAGCCTGTGTAAAATGGTATAGGTGGGAAGAGGTTTGGTTTGTTGAAAAAAAAAAAAAATCGGGAAAAAAGCCAATATAGCTGGAGTGTTACTTGAAAAAAAACAAAAAAAACCCACAGAAAAGTGAGAAAAGAAACATGGAAACATCCTGAAAACTTGGATAATGTTGTTTTTCTTTAATTGTGAAACCGGGCGTTAGATTCTGTGTGGCTTATTCTGGAGTTTCCTATTGGCATTACCTCATAAGAAGACCTTCCTTAACTGCCCTTCACAAATTCCAACGTTATCAGATTTTCCCACCCTTTTACAATCACCGCCCCTTTTCCAGTATTTCAGGAGTTACCATCTGAAAGCCCATCGCTGACCAGTCTTTTTTTAAAAATTGCAATTCGTAGCACTTTCTCACCCCTTTCTCTCACTCTCTCTCTCTCTCTCTCTTAGTCTAGGAGAACTCGTACTTTGGTCTGTTTTTATTTCCGCTGTATCCCCAACATGTACAACAGGGCTTACCATACAGTTGGCGCTTCATAAACATATACCTCGCATAAAAGATAGGATGGTGTAGGAACTACTGTGGATTCATTGTGTGAAGCGACCGCAAGTTAAACTAAGATCACCTTTTTAGCTCTCTGAAAAAAAACGGCTGCAAGCCATGGGAAGGTGACGTGCTTCGGTTTCAAAATGGGAAAGCAAAGGTTCCCACAATTCCCGGAGAGCTAATTTCTAGCCACAATTCAAAATGGCGGAGGAGGGTGGGGCTTGTCTCACGGTCGACGTCACACGTCACGCGCAGCGTTCCTTTTCCAGCGCGGGCCGCGCGCGTCCTCCTCCCGCCAAGGCTTTTGGAGGAGTCGCCTGCGATTGGCTGACGGGCCGAGGGCGGGGCCGGTGTGAGGCCCGGGATAAAGCATCATCACTTCCTGTTGGGGGCAGTCGTTTCCTGTCGCTGCTTGGTAACAATGGGGGAGATAATGGCTGCCTGAGCAACGTTTCCGAGCGGGCGCGGGGCTAGAGGCGGGTCTCCACCAGCGACTCATCGGAGGCGGGTCTGAGAGCGGCGCAAAGAGAGGCGCGCGGAAGCCTCGGCGGCGGCGGCCTTCCCCCCAACTCGGATCCCAACAACTCACAGCGAGTAAGTGGAGCTTTGGGGGGTCCTCTGAGAAATGGATGGGGAGCGAGAGGGAGACGGCGGAGTTGCGGCCGCCGCTTTTTCTCAAAATGGTCCGAGTGGCCTGAGGCGGAGGAGGCGAGGCGCCGCTTCCGGACCCCGGGCGCCGGGTGCTGCGGGGGGCTCCGTGGCGTAGTCGCCGCTGCCATTTTAGTTGGGTGTCTAGTCCGCAGCTCTCCGGAGGGAAGTGTGCTGGGGCAATATATATATATATTTTTTTCCTGCGGCCGCGCTACCCGCAGCCAGGACCCTGCAGAGTCTTGAGAATTTCAGGGAGGCGACTTTCAAGTTTGGCCTCAGGCGTGAGAATCTTGAATCTTTTCAGGGTTTTCTCTCTTTGGTTCTTTGGAGACTTCCTTCCCTTTGGAGACTCTCCGCCCCTTTACTTCGGTGGGCTGGGGTTTGGGAGTAGGAGGTAAGTCTGGCTGCTCTAAGTTCGATGCCGGGAATTCTTGGGCCTTTCCACTTCCCAGGATTTGCAAAACCTCCTTTTGAGCTCGCGCGGGGCACTATCAATTAGGTGGCCCCTGAGGCTGTGATGACATCTTCCCGGAGGATCTCAGGCAAATGTGGTTTACTCCCTCGTTTGAATAACCCTGGAATATCCTTTGCCAGATATCACAGTAAGGATACCTACCGTCCCTACCTTCCCACCCCCCAAAAAAAGGAGGGAAGAGCAATTGCGTGTTGTTTTACCCTTGTAAAGGGAGGAATGTGGCCAGAAGATTTTCAAGTTAATTTCCGTTCCATCAGCCAACCCCCGCCCCCTTAAAAAAAAAAAGCCTAGGGGTCTTGGCTTCTGCGGGCGGTACCTGCCACGTACGCCATAGCTTTAGTAACTAGTATTAACCGGTTGGGCTTCTGCTTCCTGAATACTCAGTCCCTTTTTCCCTTATGCTGATTAATTTCAAGATGGAGGAGACAGCCACGTTCCTTCCCTAGACAGTTTCACCATACTTATTCCACAGGTTAGTCCTGGAATCTGAGGCCTAGCAAGTTTATTATCTGGGTCATTCTATCATTTGGGGGCAAGGGGAAGCATTTATATCGGGTTGTCATCCACCTTTTGCCCCACAATAATTTTTGCTGGAAATAAGGAGCCTGCACGTCCTGAATGAGAATTAACCACAATATCTTTGGGTGATTGAAGGAAGGGAGAAATAAACGTACTATTAACTACTAATCATTTATTTCATTCTTCATGTCTAAATACTTTTTAAAATATGATTTTAGAACCCACTTTTCTTATTGAAAAATGTTTCATCCTGATGTTCTTTCATACTTTTTTAGTTTCTGCCTTAGGCCTAGGCCACTGCTAGGACTACTTTACAGAGGTAACTGTGAAGTTCCCAGTAAGTCCTCAAAAGTATCAAAATGTGAAATTACTGGTCTGATAAAGTAAGGCCTATTTTAAGCAAGCTTATATTAAACGATAGATTGGAAATTTTATATCTAGAATATAAGATTCATGGTTCATTCTAACCTGTCTCCCCAAATATCTTAATTTTGAGTTATATTGGGTAGGTTTGTGTGTGTGTTGTATGTGTGAGAGAGAGACTACAATATTTAGGATGTGTATTTTTTTAAAATGTGTATTTCAAAGAAAATATAAAAGAGGAAGAATAATGGATTCTTTTTTTTTTCTAGAGCAGAGTGTGAAGAAAACTAAAATCCAGTTTATTGTTTTACAATACTATGTCATAACAGTCAGGTAACTTATTTTTTTGTTGCGTCTCCTGATTATTTATGTGTAGAATGCATGTTTTAAAATACTCAGTTTTGAAGACCTGGTAATTGGATGGGCTTATTTGATACATGTTAGTTGGTGCTGGGCATACTTCGTGATGAGAATGGATGTTTTATACTGGTAATTCAAAGGGTAGTGTTTCTGAGTAGCTGGAACTCACTAGTGCTTTATCTGTGAATTTTCCTGTTTTAAAATAGTGTCTGAAGTTTACTAGTACTTGTGTAGAACAAAATGAACATGATGGGTATAAATAAATATTGTTCATATGTTCATTGAATAGCTAAAAATATCAGTAGACTTTTTTACAGAACATCATCTTACATTATTTTGTGTTCTATTTTTTTCTTTTTCAAGATTCAAAAAGTAATTGATATATGATACTTTAATTGGTATTAACTCTTTTAATCATCATCATTAAAAGTAACCACATAATTTATTGCCCTGGCTGGGTTGCTTTTAAAAGCAAAAGGGACATTATTATTAATTATGTTTGGACAACAGGCACAAACAAGATTGTCCCAAGCAAACTGGGATGGGTAGTTGTCCTAACTTCATAACTAACTTGTATTGAGTGCTTATGTGCTAGGTCCTGTGCTATTACATGAATAATCATCGCAGCAAAGCTTCATGAGGATGCTATCTATTTTACTGAGGTAACTGAGACTCTGGGAAGAGGTTATTAAATAATTTGTCCTAGATTAAATAGCTAATAAGTGGCAGAGCCCCCATTTTAACCCAGGTCTGTCTAATGCCTGAAGTCACTAAACTTTTTTGCCTCTAGACTTAATTGCTCTGTTTAGATCAGAAATGCAAAGAAATGAAGGTCATAATAAAAAAAATCTATAGGTTATATTGCATCAAAAGCTTAAAAAGAATATTTTATGAAGCAGGTGAGACGTATTTAGCAATTACCCCACTCCTTCTCTTCCCCCCCCCCCCGTTTCATCTATTACTGTATAATTTGATAATTTAAAATCAGAAATGGTTTCATGAAATGGCTTAATTATGAAATGACAGCTACAAATACTAGGCTGGTTGGATATATTCTTTCATGTTAGTGAATAGGTAGTGAAGCCTTAAGTAACACAGTAGGTCAAAGGTGCATCTGCATTCATGGAAGTATAACGTTATATTACTTTTTCTACAGTCCTAGTGGATTGGGAAACAGTAAATCATGGACCAGCCTCCTTAATTTACAACTTACAATATGAAACCAATTAAAATGTGAAAAGTCCTGGCAAACCCAAATCAATGAGGTTCTAGAATTTTGGGCCATGGCCTTGGGCCTGGGATGTGTGTCTTAATTCCTTAAAATTTCTGTGTAACACAAAAGATTAAAAAAGTAGTCAGTTTACATAATCCTTTGAGATTTTGACAACCAATATAAGAAAGCAATAGTACTTCTGTATCTATATTTCTCAACCTTGAATATGGAAGTTTCCCAGAAAGTCAAGCAGTTCATATTACCTTTTATCAAAAGAAATATCTATTAGATTAAAAAAAGTCTTGGCAATTTTGAACGACTTGGGAATATACTTATGAACTTATGGTTTTGTTTCTGGAATACATATATTCCAGATATTGTTTCTGGAATACATATATTCCCAATACAAAATATTGGGTTGGAGCACTAAAATACAAGAAAATTGACAATATTTTATTGTCAATTTTCTTGTATTTTAGTGCTCCAACCCAATATTTTAATTTTTTAGTCATAATAGCACCTACATATGTTGAGACAAATAGCTGTAGACAGTGTGTGGTGTGTATATAGATTCGTGGACCTTTTGCAATTTCATGACTACAGGTTGGGTTTCTGTTATAACATTTGTATGGTGATGAACTTACTGTGTGTGTGGGAAAATATTGTGTTCAGTAATCTTTTCTGAAATGAAAAGTCGCTTTCCTTTTGCTCTTCCACTTGCTTGTAAGAAGGAGTTAACTCTTAATTACAATTTTCATTTTTTATTCAGTAAAGTTACCGTCAGTTACATCTAAGTAGCCATATAATTTATTCAAACTGGGTTACTTTTTAAAATATATATATTTTATTTTTTTTACAGAAAAGAAAGGAGGGATAGAGAGTTAGAAACATCGATGAGAGAGAGACATCGATCAGCTGCCTCCTGCACACCTCCTACTGGGGATGTGCCTGCAACCACGGTACATCCCCTTGACTGGAATCGAACCTGGGACCCAAGTCCACAGGCCAATGCTCTATCTACTGAGCCAAACCAGTCTCTGCAAACTGGGTTACTTTTGAGAATGAAAGAGGACCAGGTTCCTATTAAGTATTATACGACAACAGGTATAGACTGCTACTGTACAAACGGGATATATAGTCACCTTTGTCATTATTTCTATTTAGAAACTCAGATTCAGGAAGCACAGTTGTCAGCATGTTTGGTTCTGTAACACAAAGTTGATTTCTTCAAATAATATAATAGTCATTTATGTAGATAATTTTTTTTAGTCAAGTGATTTTAATGTATTTTTTTATTTATCCTCACTGAGGATACGTTTTTATTGATTATTATTATTTTTTTTTTAGAGAGAGAGGAAGGAAGAGAGAAACATTAGTTGGTTGCCTTCCACAACCCTTGCTCAGGGGATCGAACCTGCAAACTATTTATGTGCCCTGACTGGGAATGAAATCTGAAGCCTTTTGGCGTACAGGAAGAGGCTCTCCAACCAATTGAACCACCCGGCCAGGGTTGGTCAAGTGATATTAATTTTAAAAATTGACTTCACTCTTATTTATTTAATATTTTATTGACTTCAGAGAGAAAGGGAGGAGAGAGAGAGATAGAAACATCAATGATGAGAATCATTGATCAGCTGCTCCTTCACACCCCCTACTGGGGACCGAAACATGGGCATGTGCCCTCAACTGGAATCTGGGACCCCTCAGTCCAAAGGCTATCCACTGAGCCAAACTAGCTAGGGCTTAAAAAGTTAATTTTTGATGGAAAACTCGTGTCTTCAAAAATAGTACTTTATTTACCAATTATCACCAAAATTGTTAGTAATCAGTAATTTTACTTTAGTAACTTTTTTATAAATATATGATCCTTTTGGGTTTTGAGTAATTTTTTTACTTCTTGGGAATAATGAAAAAGCAAGTCAGAATGGAGCTTGTGTGGATAAGACCAAGTTCTAATGTAGTGAGGCAGATCAGTGAAATGGGTAATGGAAGAATATGAAATTCTGCCTCAAGTACTTGAGTGAATTGAAATGTCATTATAATAGCTTCCTTTGAAAACTAACTTGCTCCTATGAATTGGCAGCATTTGGCTTGATCTCTGTCCTTGATCTGTTGACTTTTCTTTTGATCCTACTGTTTTAGAGGGTTGTAATAGTTAAAATTGTGAACTGCAAGTCAGTAGACTTGCAAAGAGATTAGACATATGAAGGACATTTCTGAATCCTTTTGTGTATTTTTGTTATGATCCTTTTCAAGTGATAGAAATAGTATATAAGTGAGGCTAAGCTAACATTGTCATATAAATAATATTTTATAATCTCATATTACAGTAGTATCAGCAGTGGTGGAGCCCTGGGTAGCATCCTTTGATAGGCCAATGCTGGAAATAATCCACAAATAGTGTGGGTGGTGAGAGGTATCCTGCAATAAGTAAAGGCATGATACCTCAGTTTCCCCCTGCTTTTAAAAGAGGAGTGCTTTATATTTATTTTCAAACAGATAAGGTGGTGACCAAAAGGGAGACTGAAATACATGAGTGAGAAAAGCACAACTTTTTATCTTACGTCCTAATTTTTTTTTATGTTTCTTATGGTTTATTTTTCTGTCTTAATACTGTAATGTGACTTTGGTTATATCTTATTCATAGTCATGAATTCATAGAACTGGAAAGTACTTTAATGCTTTAATAATCCAGTACTCTAATATTGATGGAGACCCTGAGGTACAAGTGGTTAACTGAATTGGCCAAATTAACACAGCTATTAATAGTTAATGTTACAGCTAAGACAAGAACCCAGTATTTCTATTTTGTTTGTTCTTTTACACAGCTGAATACCACACTGCTATTCATGGAATAAAAAAAAGCCATCCTGGGTGTTTTCAACCTTTCATTTGTCTGTTACAAATGCCATAACATTTTTTAAAAATATATATTTTATTGATTTTTTACAGAGAGGGATAGAGAGTCAGAAACATCGATGAGAAACATCGACCGGCCGCCTCTTGCACACCCCCTACTGGGGATGTGCCTGCAACCAATGTACATGCCTCTGGCCGGAATCGAACCTGGGACCTTTCAGTCCACAGGCCGACGCTCTATCCACTGAGCCAAACCGGTTTTGTCAAATGCCATAACATTTAAAATATATATATATTTTTAATTGATTTCAGAGAGGAAGGAAGAGGAAGATGGAAACATCAATGATGAGGGAGAAAAATTGATCGGCTGCCTCCTGCATACCCCCTACTGGGATTGAGCTGACAATCCAGTGATGTGCCCTTGACTGGAATTAAACCTGGGACCTTTCAGTCCACAGGCTGATGCTCTATCCACTGAGCAAACCTGCAAGAGCCAATTGCCGAAACATTTTAATTAAACATTCTATATATGAAGAATTCCCAACACTTTTGGTGACTACATATGTGATGGTACATTATATCCTGACCATAGTTCTTTGTGATTTGATTTTTTTAACTGCATTATATTTTTCTCTGGTGATGGTATGAATGATCTAACATTTTCTTTATTGACAAGGATAGTATGTCATTAATTTACATCTACTCTGAGGTTTTAATGAATCTCTGTTGCAAACATGATGATACCTGCCCTTCTCTTTTCAATGACACATACTTATGTCAGTTTTTTAAAATTTAATTTAATTTTTTTATTTTTTAATCGGCATGTTCTACTTTAGAACACTTTTGAGTTTGGAGTTTGTATGAACACATGAAAATGCTCAAGATAACTTTGGTAGTTGGT